GAATATTTATACGAATTTCCCCATGACACAAAGTTATGTCACTGGAAAGCAGTGAGACTATCTGTATAGGGTAAAATATCTATGTTAAGTGACTGCATAAGGGAGTGGCACATGGAGCCGAAGGCAGAGGATAGCTAAATTCGAAGACAACTATTCCATCTGTTACCAGAAAGAATAGTGCTCATAAAGATGAAATAAATATCTACCACCCGATAGCATTAAATGGAGAATATTCTATAGCATTTAGTACACTGTCCATTATCGAGAATTTGTCATTCATCCCCGCCGCTATACATTCTTCAACGACCCTCATAATTGACATTAAAGAAGGGCATAATCCTAGGACTTTGTTCCCTAGGTGCAACTATAAATAGTGAGCTCTATCAGCATTGTAAAAGACACAAATATTCTGGCAAACTTATGCTATAATCTGTTCAAAGCTTTATACAATTTATCATTTTACTTTTTGATTCCATTGTTGTTGTATCCAGAAGCCTTGCTCCCGGAACTACTATTTCTGCTGTTATATTTTTATCTCAAGGCTAAGTATTGCATATTATTTCAATTCTTCTATTATTTCAGGATCGAATTAATTCACTTGTCTAGAAATCACATATAGATTCAACTATACCATTTTACGGGTAAATAAATTTATACGTGATACGAATCGATTTGACCCTTAAAATGATAAATAAATAAAATGCAAGATTTAGCATTGAAATCGAGATGAGATAGCAGATAGCTTGGTTCCGAGAGCAGAGCTTCGGGAGATAGTATTATTAATAACAGTAAGTGAAAAATAAAATGTTATTAAGCTCAGAATAATGTGTGTAGCATAAGTTTGTCATAAAAATCCTTTCCTACAATGGCTGTTGAACTCACTATTTATAGTTTCACCTAGGGAACAAGGTCCTAGGATCAAGCCCCTCTTAAATGACAATTATGGTGGCCATTGAAGAATGTGTAATGACATGCTATAAATGTCATATTCTCTGTAACGGACTATGTACTTAATGCTATAGAATATTCTCCATTGAATGTTATCGGGCGACAACATTTATTCGTCTTTATGAGTAACATTCCCTTCGGGGACAACCGAGATTGTTGCCCCCAGATTTGATTTCCACCTGCCTCGCTTCCCATCTGTCTCCGGCTTCACATGTCGCTCTATTATGCTACAAACATATTTTATCCTTTACAATATGATCTCTTCATTCTTAATTAAGGGTTTCAAGTTCGAATCTTGAGATTGAAAAAAAAATAGTAGAAAGTAAAGCATCTTCTAAATAGATCTTACGCGACAGGAATGCGAAAAAATAAGATTCTCATGCAGGTATCGGACATCAAGCGTGCTAAACCAAAATCACGTTACTCGTTTGTACCTATTTTCTCTTTCCAAACAATTGATCATATAGGGTGTGTTTGGTATGAAGGAAAATGTTTTCCTTGGAAAATATTTTCCTAGAAAATGTTTTCATGGATACCATTTATTTTTCCTTATTTGGTAGGTGAGTGAAAAACTTTTTCCGGAAAATATATTTTAGTGTTTGATTAGAGAGTAGAAAATATTTTTTTATGCTACTCTCCTCACCCCCCCCCCCTCTCAAATAGCCAATATTTTCAGGACTTTATTTTCTTCCAAAATACTCATTTTGTTGAAATAAAAAAAATACTTGTTTTACATCATGAAAAGAAAATAATGTTTTTGTTGAAATATAAGAAAATACTTTTTCTACATGAAAATAAAAAGAAAAAAAATACTTTTTTATATCCTGGAAAAAATATATNTTGTTGGGGGTTGATAGAGATGGTGACTAGGGTGAGGAATGTTGAGAAGGAGTTTTGGAAAATGTTTTCCTTCAATTGGAGGAAAATGAGTTCACGAGAAAAATGTTTTCCAAAATATTTAGCCAACCAATCATGGAAAAATTGAAAATGTTTTTCTTCATACCAAACACACTCATAGAGCCTCTTTGGCCAAGCTTCTAAGGGGCCAAAAGTACCTTTTTTGGTTAAAAAAGCACTTTTTGAAAAATTTAAGGTGTTTGACCAAAATGAAAAAGTACTTTTGTGTAGTAGTAGAAGCAGTTTTTCTGCTTCTGGAGAGAAGCTAATAGCCCGTGTGGCCAAGCTTCTAAAATCAGCTTATTTTGAGAAGTGATTTTCTCAAAAGTACTTTTAAAAAAAGTGTTTTTGCTGAGAAGTAGTTTGTGTGTGGGTAATTAATTAGAAAATCACTTTTGAGCAGTAATTAGTGTTTGACCAAGCTTTTGAAAACTGCTTCTAAGTCTATTTTTCTCAAAAGTGTTTCTTAGAAAAGTGCTTTTGGAGAGAAACTACTTTTTTCTACTTCTCAAAAACTCAAAAAAAAAATTTCCTTCCAAAAGCTTGGCAAAACACCTCAAATTTTGGCCAAAAGTGCTTTTGGCCAAAAAAAGCATTTTTGGCCTAAAAAAAAGTTTGGTCAAACAGGCTATAAAAATTCTAGCTTCTTCCGAAAAGCAGAAGCAGAAGCATAAAGTTAATTTATTCAAGACAAAAATAACCTTACAATAAATTTATATTTTTCAAATTATCCCTCATTAATTTAATTTTCTTTTCCTTTTTTTTTAATTTTTGCTATACATTTATTCTCTTTTTTATTTTAATTACATTTTTATTCTCTTTCTCTTATTCCTAAGAGTAGATTTTAAATTTATATTGAATGATGTATTTTGACATATTTAAATTATCATGTAAATATACTAAACACTCAATATTATTGTTTTGGAATAAATATATTATATTAATGAGAATCTTAATTTATATTTTTACTTTACATTTTATATTTTAATGGAATTCTTTTCTATAAAATGTTTAAATTTACTTTTCTTTTCTAAATAATACTAATCGCAAATTAAATTTTTACTGTCCTTTTTCGTAATTTGATACTTAAAAGGGTTTTTTAAAAGATTGGCCAAACACAATGAGCTTGCAAAAAGCAATACTCAAACGAATCGGCCAAACACAAACTATTTATTTTGCAAAAGTACTTTTTGATAAAGCAATTTCCAAAATAAGTAGTTAAATAAGTATTTTCTTTAATCAACCATGCATAGGATGAAGATTCTTACTAAAAGGTGAATTATACGTACCAGGATTTGCGTGTTAAAGTGCTTTTAATTTAGTTTCCTTTTCGCTTTTTATAATATTTACTAATGTAGCCACTTTTAGGGAATTAGTACTGTAATATTAGCACTTCCACTGTACCAAAAGCACCTACATCTAAAATTGAAGAAATATTCGAAAAGCAGTCAGTCAGTAATGCTAAATTACATATCCAAACCAGGAATTGGTATCGCTTTCACAAACGTTTATTCCAAAAGCCCTCTTTTACAAAAGTGGCCAAATAGGAGTATAACACACACACGAGACTAAATTATTGTGGAATAAAAATGAACTTTTTTATCAAAAGCAACAATAAAATTCTCTCTAAAGAGCTGCTTGTTTCGAATTTGGATAGTCTTACTTTAGTGCCTTCTTGATGTCTTTGACTGAAAAACCTCATTGGCTACTGGCTAGGTCAACACAATTTAAGCATATTAATTAGCTACTCAACTCATCGAACTGTCCAATAATTCTGTTTCGAAAATTACTCATACGCGCCTAGTATTCACATCAAACCACTAATTTAACCATTGGATCAGTCACAAATTAAATTGCATATACACATCACTTAATTAAAAAGTGATCCTCGGAGCAACAATCAACAATAAAGTTATCTCTGCATGATCTATAAGTCACATGTTCGAGTTGTGGAATCAACCACTAATGCACACATTAGGGTAAACTGCCTATATCATTTTCCATTAGGTACAACCCTTCTCCGGACCTTATGTGAACGTGAAAACCTTCGTCCGCAAGGCTGCCTTTTATACACTTCACTTAATATAGTTAAGTGGAAAATTTATATGCAACCATATGTTTTACATGAATTTGGTTGGTGCAAAAGTGAGGTACAAGAAATTTTCTCTCATTTGTGTAGTAACAGTTCAATCGCTAAAAAAATCTATTTGACAAGATAATGTTGCGATTTGCGAAGCAAGTCCTATCTTCTTTTTTTTCAAAATAATATTAGAACTGTACCGAGTTGGGTCTTTTGTGATTTTATCTTTCGCATTTAGCATAGAAAAAAGAAAAAAAGAAAATCAAAATGCCAGATAGACATTCCTCCACGTGTCACAAAACCATGAAATGTTCCAAAACTGAGTGGCCCACCGACAATCTCGGTTTGACTCCAATGTACGGTCAATCCATGAACCTATATAACTAACGTACCTTTGTATTTCCATTTAGACCAACTCCCCCAACTTTTTCATGTTATAATCCCAAAAAGTATTACATAAGCCGTCTTCTTTATTTTCATAATCCAATTTTCTCTCTATTTTCCAGTCCAAAAATAAATAAAAATAAAAACCATCCTATTTTTCTTGCATGGATTTCTCTCTTCCCTTGGTTACAAACATGAGTTTCATCAAGGTAACACAAAAGGTGGTAATCACAGGTTTCTTTTGTTTACTTATGTTTTTTCAGTGTATATATTCAAGCTTAAGAAATTAATATCAAAAAAGAAAAATGTTGCAGGACATGATGCTTCATCCTCAAGAACATCAGCTTTCTTATGTATACTGCTTATTTATCCCATATATACTTCTTTTTAGCTAAAATAAAGCTCTTTTTTGTATTATAAAAAATTGTTAACATTTATGTTGATTTCCTATAGGTTTTTACAAATATATAAACAAGATTCAAGTTTCATGGAAATGGTGTCTTACAAGTTTGAATGTTGTTTTTCTCTGTTTTCTTTCAAGATCTTGAATTAGATCATATTAACTACTTTTTCTTTGTCTCAATTGTGTTTATTTTTAAATTTAACCTTTTCTTTTAATAATTTATCTTCATGTTGTTGCCTTCATTTTTTCAATCAAACTATCTGCATGCATGGTGATGAAATTTACTACTATATGTTTTTGGTATTCAAATGTTCTACTAAGCTTTTGCTAGATTTTTCATTCATTAATTATCAGAAAAGTATTACTAAAAGGTTTTATGACTAAAAAGATTTAATCAAATTTTCAATGAATTTTTTTCTTTTAAAGATTTTTTCTATCTCAAAAGGGTGGCTGACCAACCTGTCATTTTCCATTTCCCATTTTGGATTACAATGGAATATTTATCTTTTCAAGCTTATTACTCAAGTTCTCTAACTATGAAAAATGATTCTTTATTTTTCTTAGGTTCTCTAATTGTTGAGACAAGTCACATGCTTATCATAATAGGCTTTTACTCCTACAAAAAGTTGCTAGTAGTTGCTTGTCCAACTTTGGATTCTTTTACTCTATTTTCCTGTTTTGAGAAATTGCTTTCACTAACATGATTCTCTCATCTTGAGAATTCATGTCCTTTTTGTATAATTTAGATGCCAAAAACATTAAGTAAACGTATGAAAATGTTAGGTATTCCTCGAGTCCCGTGCAATTTGCATGACAAAAAAAGATGATTTTTATCTAATATACGATAAATATGATTCTATTCTATGAAAGGTATAGTAGAAAAGTATAATTCTATTCTATACTAACAAGTCTTTTTCTTGTTAAAGAATTTGATTATTGTTTTTGTTTTTGCAGGAAGAGATGCCAAGCCCCTTAAGTGATCAAATTCTGAATTTTTGTGAGTCTGAACTTTTTCCAGAAATACAAAATTCAGAAGTTGCTTCTAGTTCAAATGGCTGCTGTTATGATGAACAATCCTCTTATAGTACAAATCTTGATCTAAACAAATTCCAAAGCACTAGTGAAAAGAATGATGAAACTATCACAACCTCGACCAAAGCAGCCACCAGCACAACCGATAACAATAGCAACAACAAGGATGACAACAATAACAATAACAGTCTGTCGAAAATATTTGATACTCAAGAGGAAATTGAGAATGACATTACTACTTCTATAGACTTCACACCATCCACAAACTTCAATATCCCTGACCATTTCCTTCAACAACAAGACGAACAATTCGACGTTAATACCCTTAACAATCACCATTACCCTGTCACAGATGTTATTTCTGGTCCCTTATCTCATCAGTATCGTCAAGATCAGCCTCCTATCGTTCCGCTTATGGGACCTCCATTAGGCCATCTATACGCAGAGGAATCGTTGTCCTCTATTCCTCCTTACATGCGCGTCGTTACTTCATCTCCTTCTTGTTCACTTCTTGATCCTATTATAGGAAATTACATTCAAGGAAATCTTAACACTATAATCCCGTCTGATGCTTCAGCTGTATTTGCTGCTGCTGCTGCTAATAGCGCTTTGTTCTATGGATCCCAATTGCCAAATCAAGAATTGGAATTTCAAGAAGGGAATAGTAGAATTTTTTGCCCTGATGCCTTGTCAAGGATCTATAACTGTTCTATTGAGCTTCAGGTATTGATTTTAATTTTTAGTGAAACTTAGTTACTTATTTACTGTAGCTTTATTTAGTGATTTTTGTTAAAAACAACTTTTTTCCAATGAAGGCAATCAGCAATGAGAGTCAGCATTTGGTTAGTGCTGTTGGTTGTTCTAACCCTTTGGCTGCAGAAGTTACAACTTTTGAAGATCCTTCCTATAATAAAACTGGCAGGTGCTCAGTTGAGGATAGGAGGGAGAAGATTCATAGATACATGAAGAAACGAAATGAGAGGAATTTCAGCAAGAAAATCAAGGTCTATATCTCCTCTTATAACTTAGATTTAACTTGCGTACATCGACAGTCTAAAGAATTTTAACTATTTTTAACATGTTGAGTAGTATGTTACCTACATATTGAGTAAAAAAAGGGCAGCCCGGTGCACTAAGCTCCCGCTATGCGCGAGGTCCGGAGAAGAGCCGGACCACAAAGGGCTGTTGTAAGCAGCCTTACCCTACATTTATGCAAGAGACTATTTCCACAGCTCGAATCTGTGACCTTCTGGTCACATGACAACAACTTTACCTACATATTGAGTAGTATGAATAATTTGATGGTGTAAAAATTCTTATATACTATCACGATATAGAAGTTAAACTCGTATTATGTACTGCAATTTTTTTCTTGAGTTTGATTTTGGAAGCCAAATTTTGCAGTATGCATGCAGAAAAACACTAGCAGACAGCAGGCCAAGAGTGAGGGGAAGATTTGCAAGAAATGATGAATTTGGGGAAGCTGCAAGTAAAGCAAATTCTTATGGAAATCATGAAGAGGAGACAAGTGATCAAGATGTAAAGTTCAATAGTATTATATATCAAGATCCAAATATGGTTGCTGCTTCTACTCATGAGAATAATGTTACTCACAATGGTCGGATTTTCAACTCCAATATTTGTCACATATCAACTGGTCCCTATGATATGTATACACCTCTCTATTGTACAGATGGTCAACTGCACTAGAGTTTTATACATCCCTGCAATATTTGCTGCTATAACTCCTCTTCTGCACATAACAGGTAACCATTTATATGTTTCTTCCTTCTACTAGGGCAATAATTCCGTGCACAAAGCATCTTGCATTCATACAGGATCGGGGAAGGGCTTGCACCCAAGGAGTGTGAGGTAGATAACCTACCCTAATGCAAGTAGGGTGTTCATAAAAATCCGAAAAATCGAACCAAACCGAAATCCAAACCAAACCGACCAAAAAAACCGATACTTTTTAGGTTTGGTTTGGTTTGGTTTTGGTTTTGAATTTTAAAAATCAATTAAATTTGGTTTGATTTTGGTTTTAATAAAAAAATAACCGAAAAAATCGAACCAAACCGACTATAAAAGTAACTATTTAAATTTGTTATTACACCTTTATATATGTATTTTAATATAAAATTTCTAAAATTTTATCGTACATATTAGTCATTTGTATTTTTAGTCTAGTTCTTTGCTATTATAATAATCTAATTCTTTGCCTAAAAAATAAATTTAACTTCTATACTAATTTCATATCGTACAAGTTTTCCTTTTACACTATCCGGCATTTAAAGGATAATTTACAGGTAATCGTTTTATTAAAAAAGGGGGTTAATAATCAAGAAAAAAAAATAAGACATATTATATGCTACAATTAATTATAATATATTGATAGTTTATAAAAAAAGTATATTATCAGAGCATGTAAGTTAAATATGCATTGATAATGTAAAAGGTTTATTTTAACATATTGTAGTTGTAATCTGCCTTATTTTTCAAGTTACTAATCCTAGTTTTTATGACCGGTAATTACCTAGTAAATATTAGGTGACTTTACAGTATATTTTTTCTTACCATATCTGTGTAAAGAGGTTAAACTGTTAAAATATACTGTTTACTTATGTTTTTTTCTCCTTTTTGTGGTTAATTTTAGTTGCAATACTGCATATGGAGGTGAAAGAAGAAGAGGTGAAATCGTTGTGTATAGTTCAACATAATATTGGTGTGAATACCTTCAAAATCAACTATTGCATCCAGCTGCCATCTTTATTTTTATATGTTCTTGCAACTCTATATATATACAATTTTGCAGGACTATATTTTCAATAGGATATATTAATTAGTTGTGAACTAAAATAGAAAATAAAAGAATAATTTGTAATAATCTACTAAATGTCCTGTAGTCAGGGCATGTAAATTTTGTAAATGTTGTGCTATTGTAAGTCATACCTTTTGTTTTGTATGCTAAGAGTTACCAAGTTGAGCAAATTTAGTAAAAAAATACGTCGGAACTCTATAATTGCTTTAGGCAAATTTATGTATGAATATCCGGCAATGATAGTATATTTTTATTTTATTGAAGAAAATTAACCTAAGTTGCCTCTCATTCAACCACTTAATATATATGCACTATAACTTATGTATAACTGTGCATATCTCAATGTATATTGGTTAGAAAAGGTAGCTAGTGAATCCGACCGACTATTTATGTAAATATTACTGTAGGTCCTAAAGATGTGCATATAATTATCATTTGGCGCAAATGACCTGTTTTTTAAGGATAATTTTATGTAGAAGGCTGAACTCTGAAGAAACTGTAGGATTCCTTGGTACATTTAACTCTTTTAACAGTAAAGTAGCAACTTTACCAGTGAATACGGCCAGTCAAACTTTCATCTAGTGACTATATTCTCTTCTCTCAAGCATTAAGTTACAAGGATGCTTTTTCACAAAAAGTGTTGAATTTTTATTTTCGAAATACTTTTTTCAAAAGGAATTTTAACTATTTTTCTCTCCAGTTTTTGAGGAAATTGAAAAGCATCACGGAGAGTAGCTTTTCAATTTTTGCAAGAACTGAAAAAACTTTTATTTAAATGGATTGAAAAAAATAAAATTTCTGAAATACTTTTTCACTTGTTTTTTAAACAAATGCTAATATATTTATTTGAAGAAAAGTGGTTGTTTGTAACTTTTTCTATTGTTCGTTGTGCTTATCCTACTATTTTCATTCCACATCTTTTTTTATATTTTTTATTTTTAAATAATAAGTTATTATGCTTGATAGTCAAAATGTGCAAGATAGTTTATACGAAGAGAATAGTATGATTAGCATTTCCCGGGAGAAGTACATAAACATTCTTAGGGCTGCTATTTAGGGATTAACCAATACTTATTTTGTCCTAAAATTTTAAACTAAAAATTTTAGTTTCAGAATAATTCATGAAATTTTTGTACCAAAAACTTAAACTGGAAAATCAAAATTTAAGATACATTGGTTAATTCATAAATAGCAGTCCTTTAGAATGGCTATCTAGTGTCATTTCTACCTGAATCTTGGACAAGGTAGGAAGCTGGGCCATCTTCTTGGGCTACACACGAGAAGCCCAATACTTGGCAGAAAGCTGGGCCATTTTACATCGTTTACTAGGTGTCCGTACTGTAAAAATTGCACGGGACGCCTTATTTGATCGCCCTCATTTAACATATATTTATTTTTTTAAAAAGTTTTAACTTGTACCCATTTTTTAAACAATTTCAGCCCGCTTTCTCCTCCTCCTCCTCCTCCTCCTCCTCCTTCTGCTTCTTCTTCTCCTCCTTCTCCTTCTTCTTCTTCTTCTTCTTCTTCTTCTTCTTCTTCTTCTTTTTCTTCTTCTTTCTTCTGCTGCTGTTGGTGCTGCTATGAAACTTCAGTTCATGGGATGATTGCCATAAATATGTTTATCAGATTATTTAAAAATAAATTATAAATAATTACGTAAGTTAGTAGACAATAATTTGTGAATATTTCCATGTACGTAAGTTAGTAGACAATGATAATTCTGTTCTTTTCACGTTTATTGTTTCCAAATAATTTAGATACTGTTGGCAATCTGATTATTTATCTAGTATGATAGAAAGCTTTTTCAAAAACTTCAGCTTATACAGTGCTGAAGTTTTTACAAATGAACTAAATAACTTCAGCATCTTCTGCTGAAGTTTTTAAAAAAGCTTTATGACAAAACTGATGAATCCAGGACAAAAAATGCTGAAGTTTTTACAAATGAACTAAATAACTTCAGCATCTTCTGTTGAAGTTTTTGAAAAAGCTTATCCAGGACAAAAAAACTTCAGCTTATTTAGTGCTTAAGTTTTTATAAATGATCTAAATAACTTCAGCATCTTATGCTGAAGTTTTTGAAAAAGCTTAATGACAAAACTAACGAATCCAGGACAAAAAAACTTCAGCTTACTTAGTGCAATTACAAACAAAAACTTCAGCGAATAGAGAACAAAATTTCAGCTACTATGCTTAAGTTCAATAATTACAAACAAAAACTTCAGCAAATAGAGAATAAAACTTCAGCTACTATGCTTAAGTTCAACAATTATAAACAAAAACTTCAGCACACTTGCTACTTCAGGCCCGTCTACTAGAATGCTGAAGTTTTGCGTGATTGTCTTTGCTACTTCAGCTCCGTATGCTGAAGTTACGCGAAAAAGTGGGTACGCTTGCAATTTATGCAAAGCATGCACAAGTTAAAACGTGACCCAAAAAGCGGGTATAGATTCAAATACCCCGTCCGTACTGTCCAACTAGGCTATATTGTTTGAAAAAAGGAAAATAATGGCAAAAATGGATTTTCCCTAAAAATAAAAATAATAAAAGTATATGGGTCATATTTTGAAGAGCTTCTCTCAACATAGTTCGAAAGACATGAAGTCATGTACCTTCCAAAACTCACGTGAATATATATTGAAACAAATCCTTTTTATGCATTTTTAACCCACACAATTGAGCTAGAAGGATGAAGTACATCTTAGATATTATTCAAAAAATACAAACTTTTCCTTTTCTTGGAGGGACATTAGAAACTTCCATTTGAGGCTCTCTTAAAAATATTAGTCACGTAGAAAAATAGAAGATCGACATCCAAAGTTACTTCGATAGTTGGATATTTTGATTCCCATACGCTAATTCCACCATTATTGTATCATTAGTAGACTTACCCGCGCTTCGCGCGGAGTTTAAAAAACATCAATAAAATTTTAAAAAAGAATTTATCGAGTTAATAACAAATGTAGATATTATTCATCTTTTATGAGAAAGAAAGTCGCCAATAAATAAAATATGTTTGGTTTAATTCATAAATTTAGTTTATTTGTAGCAAATAATCAAAATGATGTATAGTTAATTGTATATTATCAATGAATATTACTTAAGTTTTATCTAATTAAGAAATTCCAAGACCAAGAAAAATAAAACCTAAAATAAAAATAAAAGTTCGCATAGATTCTTAAAGCTACCAATTACACAAATAAAATAAATTAAATTATTTTTAGTTGTATATTGAGAAGCTAAAAGTTTCTATGAGAAAAAATATGTACTTTTTGACAAAAGATCATTAGGAAGACCTTCTCCTCTTAGTTTGCAATATATGTTAAAAACTTTTCCATTAATTTATTGTATTATTCTGGTAGTTAAAGCATGATTTTATGTGATACATTTTATTGAGTAACTGCAATATTAAATTAGAGATAATGTTACACTTTAAAGAATAAAATTCACCAAGCATTCACATGAACAATTAATTTTTTAATAAAAAAATCTCTCAAAATAACCCACTTAATAAGATAAGAATAAAAACTAATTGAGTGTAAATCCTAAAATTAGAATAATGAGTATTGTTTGTAACTTGATTATGAACTTCACTAAGTTTTCAATCATCGATAGTATATCCCGAAAATAAAAAAAAATTATTTCATAAAGTTAATAACTCGTTGTCTAGTGATTTTTAAACTACCGAAAGCCTGGCTCATTCACATTGTTAAATTTTTTATCGGTAATAGCCTATTATTACATGTAATTTCTTAATTAATTAGATTACATTGTATGTTAACTTAAAGTAATCTACAAATTGTCATTGTCATAGATTAATGCCTAATTCAAAAAAGTTAATTGAAAAAAAAAATAGAGGAAAAAGAATTATGAACAAATAGAAAAATATATTTATAAAATAAATCTATATATAATAGGAAAAGAAAAACACATTAGAATCTCACTTCAATATCAGATAAAATCACGACTCAAAGTTATTGCAATTGTAGAGTACAAATATATACAACAAAAAACAGATATCAAAATCTATATGTATATATTATTTGAAAAAAATCACTATTTCAACTTATACAACATCAACCTAAGTATGACAAAATCAAAGACCAGTAATGAGAATTATGAAATGCGCTTTACTTCGATCTTCACCTCATTATTTGACACTTCTTCTTAAACATTCTTCTTAAGATTCACACATGCATAGAATATCTTCGTGCATTTACCTTAAACAAAAAACAAAGAATAGAAATTATACCATATCTTACTATAATTTTTCTTTCCCACTACAACCTTTGACATAGAGATAGCTCAAACCATTATAAGCAAAATATAAAGTTAGTGTCAATCATATTTGTTCAACACATAGAAGTCCTTATATAGGTACATATGTAGGAACATATAATAATTAGTCATAAAATTACACATTAAATATTTAGAGGTTATGAATATGAAAGGCATGAGAGTTATTGAGATAATTAAAAAAATATAGGTTATGATGATAAAGAGGTGTGAGTTACGGTAATTGAATTTATAAGACTAAATAAATGAAAAAAATGATGAAAAACCCAAAAAAGGAGAAAAAAGATAAATATNGAGAGAGAGATTAAAAGAGTGTATCATATTTTTTTAGTTTTTCACTTGGTATTTCGTATTCGCTCTGAAGCTCTAATGTTCAGATTCACGTCACATAAGGTCTATTATTATGATTTCACGGTAGGGAGTATTTTAGTTTGAACTGATTTTATCTCCCTCATTAAAAAAGTTGAATATCAAATGTATAACGAGGGAACCTTCAAAGGCAAATGCCTTTTTTGTGCAATGGGTTCTTGAAACCAATATTTTTAATACGAAATATAAATATTTATGTAAAAAGTACTAAAATTTTAATAAATATTGTGTTTTAAGTTCATAATTTTCCAAGTATAAGTGTATAAGGAAAAATATGATATGACACCTGGTCATCTAAAGGATGGACACGTGAAACCCAAAACGGAGATGGTCACCGAACGCAGTTATTCCGCTTGTCACCGAAAGAGAATGTTCATAAATGTGTATAAAATGCTTTGCATCCGGTAGCATTTAATAGAAAATATTCTGCAACTTTAAGAACGGCAACCCGTTACAAGAAATTTGGCATTGATTTTCACCAT